CGAAGACCTCACGCGCGGAGTTTCAGTTATAGTTTTATGGAGATTCATGTCCTAACTCTGCACCGACTTGAGAGGGGGTGTCAGAAGTGCAAGTCGGCCCAGGGTTTAGGGTCTAGGGTTCATAGACCGACGATCCACTGATCTGTGAGACAGGACGGCTGTTGAGTCTGTCCGTTCCATGAGACAGGCCATGGCGGACAGGACGTCAGACAGGATGGACTGACGCATACTACATGTCCTACGTGGACTCTCCACAAAATCCACAGACCTTACGTTGCATTGACTTAATCCTTTATCCGGGACTGACCGCCCGGCAGATCCTCTCTTCACCATTCTCCCCGACTCTCTCCCCCCTATTCTGACAGATTGCGAGAAGTTAAACCCTGAAGGGCGCCTCACTGATTCGCAAGACCGGCATTGCACAGTGGCTGAAGCCCACTTATCGCATCTGCATCGCACCGAGGCACCAAATCGCATCGGCTGGGCTGTCGCTCGATGGCCGTGGTCTGCTGACAGACCGACCGACCGACCGAGCCCTGCCCGCCTTCATCGCCTGTCGAGTGAGTGGCTCTCATGGCGTGGGGTGCAGGCGCGGCGCTTGCACTGGCGTTCGGCACTCTCGCGTCGATTCTCATGTCGCCCCGGCTCTACCTACATGCTACCGTCAAGGAGGGCCCTGCAGCAGCACAGCAGAGCAGCCTCAACTCGACCAACAACGCCCACCTGCTCTCTCAGAGCGGCAGGAGGCGGGAGGGATGCAGCGACCGAGGAGGTCCCTGCACTGCAGACGACCAGCCCCTGCTGACAGCTGAAGATGAAGCGCTCGTTTCATCCCTCGCCACCACAGGCCAGAGAAAGGGAATCGACAGAAGGGCGACGCTGCTGGGTCTCTCGCCGCTGAGTGCTTTCAGCACCCAAGCTGCTCAGGGGAGAAGAAGCTTAGCAGCTTCCTCACCAAGGCCGAGATTGTGGCCGAGGGTGTCTTCATCGCATCGAAATCATCATTCGTTTATTGAGCTCGCTGATGCTCAGACTCAGAGGGAAGTTGGGTTTGTGCAGCTGCACTCTGGTGTTGGTGATGGTGACAAGTGCGACAAAAGTGTGGCGCTGGCGACTGAGGGGCTGAAGCTTGACGTGTCGCCTTACACGGTGCGCAGCCCGCTGGACAACCCCAACTTGGCCACAGAGTGGGCGCCACGCAGTGGCGGGAATGATATAAGATTCAAGCAAACCGATGTCGCCAAGGCACCCGCACTCATTACACCAGAGTGAGTCAGCCCAGCCACACACAATCGACCGACACCCACTGAGAGACAAACAAATTCCGCTCTTTCTTTTGTCTGTCTGTGTAGGGAGGGTGAGAGTCCGGTGGCCGGATGGTTGCAGTTCAAGGGCGACCAGTCGCTACTGTCCGACGCCTGTGTGCCCCTGATGGACCAGAACCACAACTTCGTCTACTTTGCCTTCTTCGTCAAGCTCAAGAAGCTGCCCGCGAAGGACACCTTCCAGGTGCTGCTGGACAACCACCGGGGCTTCCAGATCGGCCTCAAGCGGGACGAAACCGAGGAGGAGAAGATCCAGTTCGGCATCATCGTCGACGGGGGGGAGGGCGACTTCACCATCCCCACGTGCTGGGTGAGCCCTGACGGTTTCTTGCTGCAGCTGACTCTGGACGCGCAGCACTGCAAGGGCAGCTCGGACGCATGCCGCCCGAAGATGTCGCTGTACCGGCTCAAGTACCTGCAGGAGGCCAACAAGGAGGTCACCAACTCGCAGGTGTATTTGAAGCTGCTGGCCTCTGACGACGGCTATGGCAACTTCCCCGGCACCAAAGTCACCATCGGATGCGACGCCAACGGAGATAACTGCTTCGATGGTCAGTCAGTATTCACGTGAGCGGAGCAGTGTATATGGTGGGAGGATTGGACGCCTGCATTGATTCATTCGTTGATGGGATTGATGGGATTGGTGTGTCCACCAGGTCAGCTGGGTTACCTGGAGATCCAGCGGCAGCCCACCAACCCTGAGCTCTTCGAATGTAAGAAGGGCACAACACACAACTGCCCTGCCCTGCACTGGCTGGCTGCTGATGCTTTCTCTTCTGTCTGTCTGCAGCGTCGTCGGTTCGTCAGACGTGTGGTGACGGTGTGTTCCAGCCCGAGCTGGAGGAGTGCGACGCCACCGTCAAGGACCTCGACCAAAGCGAGCGGGACAGATGCGGATGCGACTGCCTACGTACGCACACACACACAAACACATGACATCCAAACAATAGAGACACGATCCCATCCATGGATCGGATGAATGAATCTCTATGTCTCTCTCTGTGCTGTGTGCCCTCCCTCTTGTCGGTCGGCAGTGCGGTGTCCGCCCTACAGCCACGTCCTGCCCGCCGGCACCCCCGACCGGTATCTGGCCAGCCCCCTGCACGCCACAGGGGAGGAGAAGACACCGCAGAAGGTCATCCAGGGCAACTGGCTCCGCACCCGGCCCCAGGGCTTCACCTTCAACCTCATGTGCGACCAGCCGGCCGGCTTCTACCAGCAGCAAAACGGACTCGTCGACCGAATGGACGAGCTCACATGCGGCGCCAAGCCGCCCCCCATGACTGGCGGCTTCGGCTACGAGGATCCTTTGCTCTTCCTGGGGCTGGCTCTGGAGGCCGAGGAGCTGATGGAGTCGAATGTCACACTCATGGAGAGGGATGGGGCGGCGAGCGAGGGTGGTGATCCCACACCGTCTGCAGGAGCTGACGGGGACGCGACAGCGCCAAAGGCCAGACGTCCGAAAGGGTGCAGTGCACGTGCCGGGGCATACAGCAGAAGGGTCATGGAGTGCAGAGGTACGTAGCTAACTTAGCTGGGAAGCAGATTAGCTATCCACTTCACAGCAGCTGTGAGTGAGTGAATCGCTTGCTTGTGTCTCATGTGTCTCATACCTATGTCATGTCTGTCCCCAGCTGCGTGTGAGGTGACGCACGAGTGGTGGTGGCGCAAGACCAACCTGGGATGCGGTGGGGAGAACCCCAAGGAGTCCGGCGACTGCCCCCTGGTGGTGGAGACCAAGACCAAGATGAACCCTGACAGCTTCCTCATCGAGGACGGCAACGACATCACCGTCAAGTGCAGAGACGGCGTCAAACCCATCCCCCCCACTCTGGGCGCAGCCACCAGCGCCACACTCAGATGCAACGACGGCGTCCTCGCCGCACTCCCACTCTCATGCGCAGGTCTGTCATTCAGCTCACGTCACGCACAAACGGCTGGCAGGCAGAAATGTAATGGGTCTCTCCCTTCAATACCATACGTCTGTGCGTGTGTGCAGTGAACTGTCCGGCGTGCATCCCCGTCAAGGCGGGCAAGAGGGATGCTGCTTGTCTACATCAGATGGAGGCCTACGAGATTCTCCCCTACACACACAACTCCTCGTTGGGCGGTCACCCCAACACGACACTCGACGTGACCCCAGAGGAGGCCGCAGCCACCACGGGCAACGCCACCGAGGCTGGCACGTTTGTGTCCGGGTCGGCACGGCTGGTGCGGTGTGCGCCAAACTACCGCCCACCGGCCATCGAGGGGGCCATCTCGGAGCAGATCATCACATGTGACAGAGGCACATGGACTCGCTCATTCTCGAGTGCTGGGGTGAGTGAGCACTTTGTCTCCCGAACATGCATACATAAGAGAGACACGTGAGACAGACCTGTGAGGTGGGCGTGTGTGTGTATGTGGTGTGGTGTGCGCAGGTGTGTGCCCGCGTTATGAGCTGCCCAAGGGCAAGGAAGATGACTTCAACACGGAGCCGCCCCTGGGTCAGGAGAACCGCACCTTGGGGTCGCTCATCCGTGTGACGTGCAAGCCGCCAAAGTACCCGAGGCCCCACCACCCCGTGTACGAGATCGTCAAGTGCCGGTGCTTCGGCAGCAAAGAGGAGGAGCTCAATGCTGCCTCCAACAAGGTCAACGCCTCCCTCCCGCCAGCCCCCGAGGAGGACGTCAGCGCCATCATGTGCGCTGAGGGGAAGGGCACCTATGGCTGGACCAGGGTCAACATGCAGTGCTCAAGTAATGACAGGACACAACCAACCACACAGACCCACACAGCAATTGTCATACATAGGGCTGCACCAAACATCTGTGTGTGTCTTGTCTTCTCTCTGCCAGCCACGTGTCCCCCGTATCATTTGGTGAGCGACATCGGCTACACATGGGAGTATGCCGAAGGTGAGGAGGGAGAGGAGACGGCCACACCCGCGGCAGCTCCCTCTCCCTCTGCCACCAACGCCACCTCGGCCTTCGTGTCTCACCGGGTCCAGCAGCAGTCAGCGTAAGCTCAGCGCCTACGTGCGGTACGTGCAGCTGATCCGCAAGCGGTTCGGCGCACAGCACACCTTCACATTTGACCCCTACGCACTGTACCACTCCATCCAGCGGCACCAGCAGCAGCACCCCAGGCGCACTCCCACACAGCAGAGCAGACGGCGGCGCACCAGGCACAAGATGCACCACTCACAGCGAACCAAGGCCGCCATGATTGAGAGGGACACACAACCAGCAGAGGCAGCGGCAGCAGCCGCCAGAGCGGCCAACGACACGTCTGCTGCGGGCAATGGGAGCGAGCTGGCTGGCGAGGGTAAGCCGTTCGGTACCAAGGTGACGTTGCACTGCGACACGGCCAACGGGTGGGACGAGGGCGTGGGTGAGACCAAGGGGCAGGATGTGCTGTCGTGCCTCGACGGGGAATGGGAGAAGCCCGCACTCTTCTGCTGGAGTGAGCCAGCCAGCCAGCCAGCCAACCAAGACACTGCACCGCACGGCTACTCAATTATGGATCTGTTTGTCTGTGTGTCTGTCAGAGCAATGTGTGTCTGAGCCGCCCGCCGTGGTCCGTGACACCGAGGGTGCATATCGCGTCAAGAAGATGCCCGAGGGTGTGAGTGCACCCTACCGCCACGGGGTGACCATGACCTTGGAGTGCGGCGAGGGTCACACGCCACAGGACCCCGAGATGCCCCCCTCTGATACCACCGTCTGCGTCAACGGCAACTGGACCGAACCAAGACTCGTCTGCAAAAGTGAGGGAGTCAGAAGCCCATCCCCTCCATCCCGCGCTCCTGTCGATGGCACCGCACTCTATAAATGTCTATGTGTCTATGTGTCCATGTGTCTGTGTGTCTGTCCGTCTGTCTATCTGTTTTACTTACTTACAGAGACGTGTGGTCCATGGAAGTGGCCGGCGAGCATCAAGCCCGACCACTACAGGGTGGTCAAGCCGGCCCTCGATGACCTCCTAGCACCCAACAGCACCTTCAGACACGGATTCGCTGTGTCCATCAAGTGCGCCAGGCAGTTCGAGCGGGTCACTGGGGGGCAGGACGTCGCTACTGTCGTGTGTGACGACGGCGTGTGGACCGTGGGAGCCATCCCACAGTGTGCAGGTCAGTCAGTCAGTGCAGCGACACACACAACCGGCTGACGGAATGGAAAGGCCGCTGTGTGTGCGCGCAGCTGCATGTTCTGAGTTCCCGACTCAGCGTGGCTAAGCACGTCCAGGATGGCGGGCTGAAGCACGGCGCGACAGTGACGATATCGTGTGACCACGATAGAGGCTACGACGTGGTCGGCGGGACCGAGGGCGAGATCCTCTTCTGTAATGACGGCAACTGGACCAACCAAACACTCGTCTGCGGAAGTAAGTAACCTACCTGCATACATATAGTACACACGAGACATGTATGTCATGTGTGTACTAGACACATGTCGAGCGATGGATGGTGTGGTGTGTTGTGTCTGTCAGAGGACTGCCCTGCCTTCCCGTACCCCGAGCCGCACAATGCATTCCTGATAGCGTCGGTCAACGGCACCACCAAGGAGGACCTCCTCGAGTCAGGCGACCCCGACAACCCCAACCCGCCCAAGTTCAGACACGCCTCAGAGGCCGTCATGGCTTGCAACATCGACGCAGAATTTAAGCCCGTCGGCTACCACGGCAACACATCTGGTACTGTGGCAGCCCCACCACCCCC